GAAAGAAAGAAAGAAAGAAAGAAAGAAAGAAAGAAAGAAAGAAAGAAAGAAAGAGTTGTTGAGGATAAATGAGAGGACAGAATGAGGGTTTATATTAGATAAATATCTAATAAATAGACAAGATTGAAGAAAGTGGAGTGGAGGTGTAGCGTTGTGTGGCATGAATGGGAATTAGAATAGCACAGCACAGCACAGCACAGCACAGAACAGGAGGCAGCTTAGCCCAAAGAAGCAATGGGGACTTGGCCAATGTCTCAGAAAGTAAAGACAAGGAGGCAAAGAAAAGTACTTTTCAACTTGCAAGATTCTGGTTACTGTAATTGATATTAAAGCTAGTGTTAGCGCTCAAAATTGCTGCTTCCAGTCTAGAATGCTTTGAAGGGGTGATATCAATCTTGCCTGTCCAAAAGCACATTTCCCCCCTCCCTCCTTTACCCTTAACAGTCCAAGAAACTAGAGAGGGCCCTTCTGAGACATTTGGCATGACCGTTGTTCTACTCTGCAGCTTCTTCTCCTTCTGTCTCAAGGCCTTTCTCACAGAACCTCACAGGGAAAAGAATAAGAACGGGGGGAACGGCGGGGGGATGTCGCCCGTTCCTGTCCTTGAGATCAACCCTGTTCTCCCACTCAGCCCTGCCCAAGCTCTTACCTCCTGCAAGGCAAGCAGTGCCATAGACTGCCACATCATGTCAACCCCTCGCGTAAATTCCAGGCAGATCTCCCGTACCTGTGGAGGGGGTACGAAAGACACAGAAGAGATGACAAGAGAGTTTCTTTCGTTCCAGGATGCGATGAGTAGCTCTGTTAAATCCTGTAGTCCGCTGAGAACTTATTCTCCTCCCTCCCCGCCCGGCAAATACAGGTGGTCCTTAACTTATGACCACAAATTTACATTGCTGAGTAATTTGCGAAGTGAGAGATTTGTGAAGTGGGTTTTTGCCCCCGTTTTACGGCTTTTCTTGCCACGTTGGTTAAGCGAATCACGGTCAGGTTTCCAAGTGACGAAATTCATTTAAAAAGAAAAAAACAAAGTCCGTCTTTCAGAAAAGATTTCTTTTATTTAGGAAAGCATCAAATTGGCAAAGTCCATGTTAATTCCGGATCTGACACAACCCGGAATTACCCCCACAATATTAGAAGTTAGAAACAACCCCACCCCCACCCCCCACAAAGTCACATTCTCCAATAGAAGTAATTCAACGTTGCTTGATGTCGTAAATCTCCATCTCAAGGGGCCTAAGCACAGAACAGCTCGTTTCCCAAAACAACTCTCTTTTATCTCCACTCTTCCCCACCTTAGGAATGTGGCAAGCCCGAAACCCTTCCCTCCATGACTGCCGCAGAGAAAGTAAGAAAAAGAATATATACTAAAACTAGCTGAAATGGCTATACTTATGTCAATTTCGGGCTTGACAATCACCGTGTCAGGTCTCCAACAAATCCACCCCCATTTAAATCATAACATCCACAGCCAAGTGTCATCACTCATGCTCTCCAGTAATAATCTTGCGTGCCAGAAGCTTTGGGCTGCCTAGCAACTATCTGAAGCATTCCAGGAATGCACTGCTTTCCCCCATTCCCTTTCTACTGGCAACTAAAAAGACCAAAGAAGTATTTTTATTTTTTTAGTTGACACACTGCAGTTGTTAAAGTAGTGACATGGTTGTTAAGTGAATCTGAGCTCCCCTATGAACTTTGCCTGTCACAAGGTTGGAAAAAGGGATCACAAGACCCTTCATAAATGGAACTGCAAATTCCATCCTCTCCAGCCAACGGGAGACTGTGTTGAGCTTGATTCCTGGCAGAAGGAAATGGTTAGCCATTGCCTTTCTCTGGTTTTCTTTTTTTTGTTTTCTTTTTAATTTTTCACCATAGTTTTGCACGTTTAGGAATTCCCATATAAATAATAACATGATCTGAATCTATTTTATTTTTTTCTTCATCAGCCAAAGTCGGTAGGTGCTGCCATCTGCTGGGATGTCTTTGGCACTTGTGTGGGTTTTAAATCAAAATGCAGGTAGTCCTCGACTTACAACAGTTCATTTAGTAACCATTCAAGTTACAAAGGTACTGTAAGAAGTAACTTATGACCATTTTCACATTTACAACCATTGCGGCATCCCATGGTCACATAATCAAAATTCAGGTGTGTGTGTGTGTGTGTGTGTGTGTGTGAGAGAGAGAGAGAGAGAGAGAGAGAGAGAGAGAGAGGAAAGGGGGGAAAGGACGGAGAGGGGGGAATTTGCCCCACACGCCTGGCCTGGCCACCGGGCTGCTGCTTTGCACTTCTTTCTTCTGCTTTTGGCTGCATGCAAGGAAAGCAGCAAAAGTCTTTCTTTCTCCCCTCCAAACTCCGCCAGAAATGAGTCTTTGGGACTCTGCAAGGCATCCTGCTCCAAGAGGCTGCACCAGCAAAGACTCATTTCTGGTGGAGTTTGGGGGAGAGAAAGAAAGACTTCTGCTGCTTTCCTTGGATGAAGCCAAAAGTGTCTCTTTCTCTCTCCCCCCGAGAATGGAGCTGGAGACAGTATCCTGCGATCCCAAATAAAGAATGATTGATTGGTAGGAAAACGGGGTGGGGAATTTTCCTGCAGACTTTTTTGGGGGATTTTCCCAGGGTCTCTGGTCCGCGGGATTTAAAATTATGAGTTTGGTGGTCCCTGAGGTCCAAAAGGTTGGCGACCCCTGGTTTACAGAGTCAGCATCTTGCCCCCAACAATAGCGAATCGGACAATCTGTACCACATGGGTGGGCTCTGGATCCTTTAGAATTTTTACAGGGGTGGCGATGTTAAAGGAGCATTTGGGTATCTTACAGAGAATCACGAAATGCATAACAATTTTATGAAAGGTCCTTGGGGATCTCTGAGCTTGGTGGTTTTCTTGCAGACGTTTTGCAGGTAACATCACCAGTGCAAAAAAAAAAAGAAAGTCTTCAATAAGTAATAGTTTCATTTTGGACACCGCGGCATCTAAGTAGGCCATGGTTGAAGGAAAACAAAACAAAATAAATCAGGGTGGACAATCAACTTACCACACGAGCAAAGGGCAGCTTGGCAATAAGTAGATCAGTATTTTTTTGATACTTTCTGATCTCCTGCAAGGCTCGCTGGCCAGGCCTGTATCTCCTTCTCCGAGGACCTGCTGGATAGGACATAAAAGGGGGGAGGGGGTTAACAAAGGGAGGATGACCCCCAAGAGGAAAAGAGGTTTCAGTTCAGTAGTTCCCAACTTTGAGGGCTTGGAATTCTGGGAATTTGAAGTCCATGCATTTTAAAGTCACCAAGATTGAGAACAGCAGCCCAAAATTGCCAGATATTTATATGGATCAGCTTCCCCTATGCCAGGGGTCAGCAACCCATGGCTCTGGAGCCGCATGTGGCTCTTTCATCTCTCTGCTGCGGCTCCCTATCACTAGTTGGCTCCACAATAGATAGGGCTTTTGGTTAGACAGGTAGAGGAAAAAGAATGCCGTGCTAGGAAGAGACTCTATGGTGTGTGGGGGTGGGGGGGAAACAGACTTCTGGTCACCTCCAGAATTGAAGTGGGGGGGGGCTTCCAGTTACAACCTTTGTGGCTCTTTGAATACTTAAAGTTGCCAACCCCTGCCCTATGCCATCATAATCTCCAGGCAGTACAGGTAGTCCTCGCCTTACAATAGTTCATTTAGTGACCGTTCAAAGTTAAAACAGCCCTGAAAAAAAAGGGACTCGTGACCATATTTCACACTTATAACCTTTGTGGCAGATCATTCCGATCGTGTGATCAAAATTCAGATGCTTGGTAACTGGTTCACACTTACAACCGTTATTGTCTCCCAAAAGGTCATGTGATTCCCTTTTTACAACTTTTTGGCAAGGAAAATCAATGAGAAAGCCAGATTCACTTCAACGGCAACGAAAAAAAGGGACTTGTGATGACCAGGGTGGGATACAAAATAAACACAGGCACAAAAACAGGTGAAGCCCCTTTAATTCCTTCAGCTTGGCTTTAAAGCTCCAAATATCCTTGACTGGAGACAAAAAACTCCCCCACAAACAGTTGCAAAAAGGAGGACATGCCATTCAAACTAAAAATACCTATAAATTATAAATAGACAAAAACAACACAAACCATACTGAAGCAATTGAGGAAACCAGGCAAGATAAGGGCTTGAAGACGTCCCCAGATATCGGAATACACACTGGGAAGGACGCCAAACTTGGATAAGAACGAACAGACTAGAAATATTCTCACGCTTTGTTTCCAGCACTAGCCCATACGCATGTCCGTCCTTTTAAGCAGTCCTCACAGCTGCAGCCCATGAAAGAGCCTCTGATCAAGGCCCTTTCCTCCCCCATAGACCACGCCATTCACATTTCTTCCTTATCCTCTCCTCCCTGCATGCCCTAGGATGGAGAGGGGATGGGCCTGGGTCTTCCTCTGACTGACCAGCTGACCTGTGCCCTTCCCCAGTTTCCTCCACAACCTCCAGAGCCACACTTCCACTTCCTGTCAGCTGTTCTTCCTCTCCCTCGGAGTCAGACTCCAACAGGGGTATGACAGGACTTGCGGCCGTTTTTCAGACTGACAACTCTTGCAGCATCCCCACCATCATGTGATCGAAATTCAGATGCTGGGCCACTGACTCATATTTATGACTGTTGACGTATCCCTGGGTCATGTGATTCCCCTTTTGCAAATTCCTGACAAAGGCAATGGGGAAGCGAGATTCATTTACAAACCAGGTTACTAACTTGACAACTGCAGCGATTTACTTAACAATTATGGCAAAAAAAGGGTCACAAAATGGAGCCATAGTCACTTGAACAACTGCCTCGCTTAACAACAGAAATGTTGGGCTCCATTGGGGCCATAAGGACTACCTGTATATATCACTGTTCATAAATTGAGGGCTTCCTGCAAGTCAACCTCTCCAAAGCTTTGAAGGGGGGTAATTTGCCCAGACTGCCCCACACCTGAAAAAGTCTCTTTCTTTCTATTTTTTGTTGTTGTTGCTGCTGTTGTTGTTGGTTTGAGGCCTTTTTCGGCCTCCCAGAGGCTTGGAAAAAGCCTCTGCAAGGCTTTTCATGCCGAATTATAGGCCTGTTTTGTCACTTCCTGTAATACGGGAAGTGACGAAACGGGCCTATAATTTGTCCTGAAAAGCCTTGCAGAGGCTTTTTCCAAGCCTCTGGGAGGCTGAAAAAGGCCTCAAACCAGCTGTAAAATCAGCTGTGAGGAGCAATGCAGGTAAGGGTGTGTGTGCGCACACATGCACAGGGGGCATGAGGGGGGAGCATTGCATTCTGGGTGCTGGCACGTGAGTGCATGCATGCTGGTGCACGTGCAATTTTTGGCACAGGAGCCCCAAAAGGTTAGCTACCACTGCCCTATATCATTTCAGACAAATGGTTGTCCAGTTTCTTTTTAAAAACTTCCAGTCTTAGAGAACCCAGAACTTCTAGAGGCAAGTCGAATTAAGGAAATTTCTCCTTAATTCTAGGTTGCTTCTCTCCTTGATTAGTTTCCACCCATTGCTTCTTCTCCTGCCTTCAGGTGCTTTGGAGAATAGCTTGACTCCCTTTTCTTTGTGGCAGCCCCCGAGATATTGGAACACTGCAATCATTGTCATCCCAGACACAGACTCCAGAGAATAATTAAGACTGTAGAAAAAACAATTACTACCAACCTGCCTTCTATCGAGGGCCTGTATAATGCTCGAGTCAAAAAGAGGACTGGGAAAATATTTACAGACCCCCTCACATCCTGGACATAAACTGTATCAACTCCTTCCCTCAAAACAATGCTATAGAGCACTGAACACCAGAAAAACTAGACAAAAGAACAGTTTTTCCCCACGAACGCCATCACTCTGCTAAACAAATAATTCCCTCAACACTGTCCAACTATTTACAAAGTCTGCACTACTATTACTGTTAATCTTCTCATCACTCCTTATCACCCATCCCCTCCCACTTGAGACTGTATGACTGTAACTTTGTCGCTTGTATCCTTACAATTTATATTGACTGTTTCGTAGTATGACTTGATTGCTTATTGTACCCTATGACTATTATTGTGTTGTACCTGATGATTCTTGACTCTTGATGAATGTATCTTTTCTTTTATGTACACTGAGAGCATTTGCACCAAGACAAATTCCTTGTGTGTCTAATCACACTTGGCCAATAAAGAATTTCTATTCTGTTCTTATCTGTTCTATTCTATTCTATTCTATTCTATTCTATTCCATTCATTCTTCTTTTTCACTAGACTTTTTGTTCCAGTCAATGATCCATATTTCTTACCTGCTGCTTGTTGTGGGGGTTGCCTCAGTCCAGGACGACGGGGAGAGGTTTGCCTCCCGCGTGGCGATCCTCCAGATTGGTGGCGGCGGGAAGGAGGGGTCGAAGGGATTCTTCTGGAACTGGTGCCAGATGATGGAGAACGCCGCATAGCGCCTGGCAAAGAAAATAACAAAAATATTACCTCTTGACAATTCCTGACCAGTCATTTGAGATTCAGGAGTACAGATTGTCCTTGACTTATGACAATTGAGCCCAGAATTCGCACTGCTAAGTAAGACAGTTGTTAAATGAGTTTTGGCCCATTTTACCACCTTCCTTGCCATGGTTGTTAAGCAAATCAGTGCAGTCGTGAATAAAACAATTGTAAAGCAAATCTGGCCTCCCCAGACTTTGTCAGAAGGTCACAAAGGACGATCACACGGGATACCGCAACCGTCATAAATGTAAGCCAATTGCCAAGTGTCTGAATTTTGATCACGTGACCATGGGGATATTGCCAGGGTTATGTGAATGGTGAAATTATATAACAATTGTAAAGCCAGAACGGCTGCACAGTATTGTATTCTTATAATTAAAAAAAACAAAAACAGAAAAAAAACCCGAGGGGAATTCAAGGAACTGTTTCCTAGAGATTCCCAGAAGAAACAGTTACCTGCAATTAATTAATCGATGCAATTAATTTGTTCATACCTGGGTAGCAAAATGCCGACACAGCAGCCAAACGTCTGTCTTGGTATGCCTGAGCACCAAAGCGGATTTTTTACGGGAGCGATCCTAATTCAGACCTCAAGCTGGCCAAGGATGCGGAATACAGACGTCGGCCAGGAATCAGCTACCATTCCCGCAAATACTCCACAGCTTGCAGAAAGTTGCGGGGGGGCAGCAGTTGCCGACGACGACGACAGCAATTCAGCGCTTCTCCGTGACGTCACAATGGCAGGGATTCCTGGCGGTGACGCCACAATGCTCGGAAATTCCAAATCGGATTCTCACGAGGGGCGGGGGGGGGAGGTAGCGGCGGGTCCACGGACGAGCCCCTTCCTCCTTCCTGTCCGCTACATTCGATCCTCCCGCCACACTTTCCGAGCCCCGCCCCTCGCTTGAGAGAGCCAATCCACTCTTTCAGAAAAGGCGTTCGAATCTTCAAGGAGGCGGGCCAGGGCTGACCGAATCTCCCAATGAAGAGGCGGGGCCGGGACAAATGGGAGAGGGAAGGGGGAGGAGCCTTAGTTTCGCCTTCATTTTGGAGGTCGATTGATTGACGCCTGGCGTAAGAAGGACCCGAGGCCAATAGGCGAACCACAATACCTTCCTCCTCCCCGCCCCGCAGGATTGCTGACTCTGCCCTTCGAATCCGTCGCTTTCAATTGGGCCGTTTGAATGTCGCTGCTATCCAATCAGAGGGCGAGAAGGGGGAAAAACGCACCGTTGATATTCGCGCATGCGTTAGCACGAGTTAGTCACCAAGTTGGCGTCCTTCGAACGCCGTCAAGGCAGCGGCAGCGGATAAGGGGCGCAGTAGTCTTAACACAGGGATTCCCCCAACCTCTGGGCCGAGTCCCAGTCCCGGGACCCCACAAGGAAGGAATAGGTTCCTTTTGAAATGAATACCCCTGGAAATCAGAACTGGCTGTCCGGAGGTAGTTAACTTGGCCCTGAGCCCTTAGAGGCAGCGATGAACATGAAATAATGTAGCTATTTGGGGTTGTTCTTCTTCCAGCCTACCTCATAGGGTTGTTTTGAAAATAAAACGGAGAAAAGTTCTCTACAGTTAAGTCAGTCCTTGACTTACGGCCACAAGTGAGCCCCAAATTTATGTTGCTAAGTGAGAAATTTTTGGCCCTCGTTCGATGACTTTTCTTGACCCAGTTGTTAAGTGAATCACTGCAGTTGTTAAATTTAGTCACATGGTTGTTAAGTGAATCTGGCTCCACCCCCACCCCCCCCATTGAGTGGGCTTGTCAGAAGGTTGCAAAAGGAGTGACCTGGAGACACTGCAACTGCCCTAAATGCGAATAAGCAGTCAAGCATCTGGTAAATCAGGTGACTGTGGGGAGCGCTGCAACGGTTGTAAGTCTGAAAAATGGTCATAAGTCAACATTTTTCAGTGCCGTTGTAACGTTGGAACAGTCGCTAAGTGAAATGGTTGTTAAGTTGGATGACTACCTGTAACAGGAAACAAAACCTGCACGTGGTGTCTGGTGTTCATCGGCTTCGGCACTTGGCTCAGATCCGAATTGGAAACAACACTTGCTTACTGTTTCTCAAAACTCAGCAAGTCTAAGATGTATGGACTTCAAATGCCAGAATTTCCCACCCACCTCTGCTGGATTCCAGGAGCTGAAGTCAGAATCAGAACAGAGCTGGAAGGGACCTTAGAGGTCTTCTAGTCCAGCCTCCTGCTCAAGCAGGAGATCCTACCTATACTGTTTTCAAACAAGTGACTGTCCAGTCTGTCCAACCTCTGTCCAGACTGCCCAATCTCTTCTTAAAAACCTCCAGTGATGAATCAGAATCAGAATAGAGCTGGAAATTAGTAGACCAGCAAAATACTGTGGACATAATATATTTAGATTTCAGCAAGGCATTCGACAAAGACCACAACCTACTTCTTAGTAAGCTAGAAAAAAGTGGAATAGATAGCACCACCACTAGATGGACTCGCAACTGGCTGGCAAACCGTACTCAATGAGTAGTCCTTAATGGGTCTAAGTCTACATGGAGGGAAGAAAGCAGTGGGGTGCCACAAGGTTCCGTCTTAGGCCCAGTACTCTTCAATATCTTCATTAACGACTTAGATGAGGGAATAGAAGGGGAACTTACCAAATTTGCAGATGATACTAAGCTGGCAGGAATAGCTAACACCCAAGAAGATAGGCTCAAGATCCAGATGGATCTTGACAGACTAGAACACTGGGCTGTATCTAACAAAATGAAATTCAATGTAGAAAAAAGTAAAGTCCTACACTTAGATAAGAAAAAACCAAAAATACACATATAGACTTTGTGCAACCAGGCTCAATAGCAGTAACTGAGAGGGATCTTAGTGGACAACCAGCTAAATATGAGCCAGCAGTGTGCAGCAGCAGCCAAAAAAGCTAATGCAATGCTAAGTTGCATTAACAGAGGGATACAATCAAGATCAAGGGAGGTACCGATACCACTCTATAAAGCCTTAGTAAGACCACACCTAGAGTACTGCATCCAATTTGTTCACATTACAAAAAAGATGTTGAGACTAGAAAGGGTACAGAGAAGAGCAACCAGGAATGATTAGGGGACTGGAGACTAAAACATGAAGAACAGTTACAGGAACTGGGCTTGGCTAGTCTAGTAAAGAGAAGGACCAGGGGAGACATAATAGCAGTCTTCCAATATTTGAGGGGCTGCCACAGAGAGGAAGGGGGTCAAGCTATTTTCTAAAGTGCCTGTAGGCCAGACGAGGAATAATGGATGGAAACTGAACAAGGAGAGATTTAACCTGGAAATAAGGAGAAACTTTCTGACAGAACAATCAACCAACGGAACAGCTTTGCCCTCGGAAGTTGTGGGAGCTTCATCACTTGAGACTTTCAAGAAGAGATTGGACTGCCATCTGTCAGCAATGGTGTAGGGTCTCCTGCTTGGGCAGGGGGTTGGACTAGATGACCTACAAGGCCCCTTCCAACTCTGATTACCTGTTATCTGGAAGGGATTTTGGAGGTCTTCTAGTCCAGTCCCCTGCTCAAGCAGGAGACCCTCTACCATTTCATACATTCTGTCTCTTCTTAAAAACCTCCACTGATGAAGCACCCACAACTTCTGAAGGCAAGCCGTTCCTCTGGTTAACTTTCCTCCCTTTTAGGAAGTTTCTCCTTAATTCCATACATTTTAAAGTTGCTGAGGTGGAGAACCATTGCTCTGGCTCAGGGCTCTGTAATCTTAAACACTTAAAGAGCCATTTGGTTCCGTTTCCCACAGAAAAGACAAGACTGTGAGCCAATAATTTTAACAACCGGTGTGACTGGGTGGGCGTGGCCAACTCGATGTCACTTACTCCCACCCAGTCACCTCCTGCTCTGGAATATGGAGTGAGTCTCCAACCCGCACCATCCCCCTTACCTTCTCAGGCCAGGTGAGGAGTGATGGGAAAGGGAGGGGCCATCCAGTAGTGGAATCAGCTGACAGGGAGCTGCAGCAGAGGGCCAAAAGAGCCGCAAATGGCTCCAGAGCCATAGGTTGCAGACCCCTGCTCTAGCTCAAAATGATAGCTTTCATGACCCTCATAGAATTAAAAAATTGATAATTACCGTGTTTCTCATATAATAAGGCCGGGTCTTATTTTTTTTTGAGCCCCGAAAAAATGGCTAGGCTGTCTTTTCGGAGGTGACTTAATTCCCCGCCCTTGCATCTTTGGGCGGGCGGGCAGCGACGGCTTGGATGTTGACCTCGGCGTTGGTGGGGCACTTCGTATCGGGGTCAACGCAGGCAGCACCATATCCAGGTGTGCAACAAAAGTACTTCCTAACGGCAAGCCCCCCCACCATTTCACATGTTTTAATATAGGCCTTAATTTGGGGGGAGGGGCTTAATTTCATTTCATGCCTATAAAACATGCTGGGACTTCCTATTGGGGGAGGCCATATTGTTGGAGAAACAGGGTAGGAATCAGCAGAAAGTAGCCAATTGTAACCCTCCCATTTCTTTGTTGAAAAGCAAAATAAAATGAAGTCCCTTCCGCCCACCCCTCTTCTGTTCCATTCTTCAACAAGCAAGACAAAATAAAAGTGACCTCAATATAAGGGGGACTGGCATCAATTTAACACAAAACTTTCTGTTTACTCCTCATTGTAAGTATAAATGCAACATTTATGAATTTGTGCATTTATGTTCTAATCCCTTTGGTGCTGGAGGAAAACACATGGGTATAGAAGAAGAGAATTGTCAGACTAAAACACAACACAGTTCATTTTTCTTTTCCACAAGTTGGTTCATAAACAGAGCTGAAAAAAATGCTTCAGATCAAAAATGCCATTTTGACTTTTTAAAGCCCGACTTTTAAAGACACCAACTCTGCAAACTTTTCATTTAATCTGCATACAGACATTAATCTCCATTTATCTCTTCTCACATGAAAGTGTCTCTTTCAATACTTTGGGCTTGGGGGTAATAACTGT